GTATGTAATGCCACACTACGTAATGGGCAAGCCCTATACACTTTTTGTGTAGCATGGTGGGAAAAATTGTAAGTACCTTGTGCATTTTTTTATAGTGTGGTGTTGACCTCATTTTTTAATAAGATTGACTATATCACCTCAAAATCTAAAAATTCATCAAAATCAGAAATTCATAATCCAAAGTCAAACCCTTGATTGCAATCAAATCCAAAACTCAATTCGCTCAAGTGCACCCCATTTTAGGCCTTGAGTGAACTCAAGTTCAATGCATGACAAATCATGGTCAATTGACTCGGTTAACTTACCTAAATTATTCAAATCTCTCACGCACACTCTACCCAAATCCAAACTCTACATCCATGCAATCAAATTCACCTAAACCTATACAAATTGCCCTTAGGAGCCCCCAACAACCCATCCTTAATGGCTTGACCATGTTAACTAGTCAACATGGTCAAAATTACCAAAATGTCCTCCCATGGTCAAATTTGATTAACTTGAGCAAAAAAATTCCCATAACTCCTTTGCATCAGCCCTTGTGGCCTGCCTAAACTCCTTTTGGAGGCTTCACAAGTAGCCCAAGAAAGTGGTCCAAGCCTTTAGTTTAACCAAATTAGGTACCCAAATGGTCCCCTCCATAAAAAATGGCCAATTGCTCTCTTCTCTTCCAACAACTCCTCTACCCAAAAGATGGGTTTCTTTCCACTTGGTAGTCATCTAGGACGTAGCCAAACTAATTCTTAAGTAAAGCAAAAGGGGGTAAAAAAGCTATCATTCATTAACATTCAAATTAAGTCCGCCTCCAGCTTTCCTCTCTGAAGAAGAAACGTTCATGGAGCTACAAGGAGGAGAAGTAGCCATCCCACACTCTCTAAGATAAAATCCAAGCCCTAGCTCATTGATCTAGGATTTAATGTGGTTTGCGTGTGATACATTTTTAAACGTAAAAAAATAACTACCATTCTCCTCTTTAAACATATTTTATTTTCTCCTAAAGTTTCAAGCCATTATATTATGCCCTATTTTGAGTTTTAAAGTTTCTTCTGCGTAGGATTTTTGGTCATTCTAGAGGAGAAGACAAAATCATAGCCATTCATCTCACCTGTTTTGATCAAACGGCTGTGATTTCATTTCAGATCACGTAAAATCATGCAGTACGATCGAAAAATCTTACAATACGATTCATATCGTGTTGTACGATCTCCTCTTCGTACAATACAATCACCGGTACGATTCCCACTCAAATGTGTGTCGTTTCCCTTGAATAACACGTAAAAATGTCATATTGTACAATTTTTTATCGCACTGTACGGCCTTGATCGTCCAATATGATCAGAATTTCGTACAATATGATTCTTAACTCAAGAAAATGTCTAAAACTTTGAAAAATTGTTAAAAGTCAATCTCATCGAAATTTGATGTTCTTGAGCTCATTAGAACCATCTCGAGCCCAAGTTTATTTTAAAATTAATTTCAGTAAATTTGAACAATTGGATTGTGAGAAACTTATTTTAGTTTTTATTAAAAAGTAAATTTCCTCAATTACCCTTAATTTAGTGATCCATTTGAGCTCAAATTTGGCGGTCTACTTGAGGATGTTCCTCGCATACCATAATTTTCTTGGCTCTTGATGATGGCTGAATTTTGACAAATTGAATATCCAAAGTCATTGGTCAGATTTTGATATAAAATTTTGAAAATTCATTTATCTTAAAATACATAGAATTAGGTTTTGAAAATTTTTGGCTTGTGTGTTTTGCTGTAAGGGTTAAACACACCATATTTAAAACAATTATGAACATTACAAACACCTAAGGAAAATAATTAAAAAAATTACTTAGACAACTTAGAAAAATCCCTTGTATACAATAGGGATGAAACTTGAATAAAACATACTTAGCGATATTTTGAACCCTAGAAATTAATTTCTTAGTTATTGGAAGTCATTATGGTTGTTAATTAACTGATCCCAAAATTAGCCCTTATTTTGGGCCTGAAACTTTAAAAAATCATAGATAATTTAATTTATTAATTTATTTTTTTAATTATATAAGTAAATTTATATATAAATAATTCAAATTAAATCAAAAAAATATAAACTAGGGCTTAAATTGCTCATAATCAAATGTCTAATCAAAGAAAATAAATGTTTTATCACCAACCCTCATAATTAATAGTGATTTAAAAACAAGAGAGAATTGTTAATTAATTAAAATAAATAATTAAAAAAAATATGAAAGATACCAAATAAATTTTAAAGACTCAAAGTCACCCCTATAGGTCATTCCTAACATTTGAGAGAGATTTCAAAATGTTTGGAGCTAGTTTTGTACAAAAATAAAAATTCCTCTAATTAAGTGATTAAATAATTCAATTAAATACATAAACTTTCAAAATTTATGATTAATTAGAAAAAACTTCTAATTGAGTAAACTCCAAGGCATTGGACTCATCTCTGAGTATAATATTTATGAAAAGTATCAAACCTTCAGAATTCATTAAAAATAAAAAGTCATTATTTGGTAGAATCTAACTTGTAAAATTCATAACTAATTATAAAAAAAATTCAAATCCAACAAGCTCAATAGCATTTTACACATTTTAGGGTCTAATATTTATGAAAAATATAAAAACTCCAAAAACTAATGTGAATCAAAAGGTCAATTGATTATATAAAAACTTCAGAAACTAATATTTTAATGCATTTAATTTATAGATGACTCCATGATTCAATTGATTGGGACAATCACATTTCTTGTTGGCGAGTATCTTTGGTGGGCAGTATGACTTCTTTGGTTGAGTTCTCTAAGTAATACTTGCTAGGTAGCTATGAAATGCCTAGATGGATAAGTATGAGTAAACACTATTAACTGATTATTTTTCAGGTAAGTCTAATGTAATAGCTAGTGCTAGTGAAAATTCTGTGAGAAAATCTTCCTGAATTGTTTTTGGTTGTGTGTACGCGTGTTAAGGTAATTTTCGATTAATATATATCTCGAAGATCGAAAATTCTCCTCTATCCATTATTCATCTCACCAAAAATATTAAATTCGTGCTAGTTTTCCGAAATCTCACGTTAGAGGCTCAACTGCACCTTTTTTTTGTAAACCTGCTCTCTTGGATTCTCGAGCATTGAAAGCGCCTTATGTAAACTTGGTATCATTTTTTGCATGCAACATATCATTGCTTAATACTTACAGGTGTACTTGGCACAACTTTTTCACAGTTTTATCATACAGGCAATTACTACTCTTTTTGTTTGGCTGCGCCTTTATTGAAGCTTCTAAAAAATTCTGCATCGAGGAGCTCTTCACAACTAAATTAATGGTGTGGTAGTCTGTTGACCCCCTTTATGACACTACAATAACATTCAAAAACTCAAAAATTTGACAACAATTCTACAATTAGTTTTGTAAATTTACCACTGTCGAAAACATACTCTAAGTTTCAATTTTTATTTATATATCATGAATGTGATATTAGAGTGGCATTTGCATAATCCAAAAGAGTAGGGTTTTGTATTTCATCAGCCTGTCTAATGTAGTGCTATGTTATATTTCTTTTCTTTCGTGCTATGTTGTTGTTCCATTAAGCAAAACAGATGATGAAATTGATGTTTACCTGCTAAACCTTTGCGATAAATATATTTTTTTTTGATAAATTTTTATAATGATTTATATGATAGATTAGATATCAAGGACGGTGAAAGATATATGTATACATTAGTCAAACAAAGAGATAAGAGTGGTAAGAATTTAGTTCAAGTGTGGATGAGATATTTTTTATAAATGCTTCAATGAAGATTATGAGAATGCGATTAGGGGTGTCAAAAATTGACATGACTCGAACCCGAGTCAAATTTTTTGGGTTAGGCTTAACAACCCGGTTTATGAGTGGGTCGGGTTCGGTTTCAGATTTTTGACCTGTTTCAATTTTCGAGTCCAAGTTCGGCTCAACCCAAAAACTTGTTTTAGACCCGAATTTGACCCGCTTGAACTCGATTATATGACGGGCCCCTCGTTTTAGGTTCTGGGGTTTTAGCATTTAGCGGTGCATTACTTCATTTCGAGTTTTCGACGCTGTCCGGTCTCAACTCTCGGCCCCTTGCAGTCTCGCTTCTGTGGCTCTGGCTAGGCTTCCCCGCCTTGTTGCTTTCCTCTCCTCCACCTCCCGACTCCTGAGACGCTCGAGTCCTGCTTCTCATCGGACCCTTTATCCTTAATTCTGTAGTGTGATGTGTGCACTCTATCAGTTTGTCCCTCTCCCTTTGCAGTATTATCATTTATGCTATTATGAGATTTGTCAATTAGATTTTAGGGTTATTCTTATCCATATTTTGGTTTTTCTGTTTTGCATTGAGGTTTGAGGGCTTTGAGCCTTTGATATGCCAGTTAGCGGTTTGGGCATCTTTTTTTTTCCCATTATTTTCATTTCATTTTTTAGGGCTTTGTATATTTTAGGGTTTTTAGTTTTATTGCTAAAGGGATGTACAAATTCGAGCGAGTTTAGCTGGTATCGCTCATGCCGAATTTTTTAGGGTTTACCGCTTTGTTAGTTGTTTCCTTTTTGTGCGACTGTGCCTCTACTTTTGTGGTCAGTGGTGACCCTAGTGGGGGTTGTCTTTTGGCTGCTGTAACTGGTGTAATACTTGCTATTATTTTATATTTGTGCCTCTCTGTGCATGTGGTCAGTGTTGTCTCTGTATCATAATTTTTATTTAGCAAGTAACACATGTTGTTATTATTATTTAGGAAGTGATATATATTTATAGGGTTTTGGCTGCTATAACTGTTGTAATATATGTTGCTGGGAACATGACTCATCTTTTCGGGTACTATTTTTCGTTTTCCCAAAGTCTGTTACGACTGCTGTTATGTTGTTGGCCTATCTCTGTGGCCGTTGCTGAATCTGAATTTTTAAGTTTTATATTTGATGCTTCATACTTTATAGTTTTATTTGTTGGTTTGATGTTTGTTATTTGTTGTTTTGAACTTGAGCAGTTAATGGCTAGCTCAAGGCTGACTGGATGTTTTGCTGGATGGCTGACTCATGACTGTTAATCTGTCATAATTCATATATTATTATTATTATTTTTTTTAACTTTTTGAAACTATAATGATAAACCTTCTAAAATGAGAGTGAGAGTCGTATCAGTGTATCAGTGTAAGTGCTGTTACAACTAGTTGACATTTGTATTTTGTTAGAATTAGCAAATACTATTTAATTGAATGAAGATATATTAAGTTAATACAAACTGTCACCTTGGGTGGTAATATGCTTTATTAAACTTACACCTTATTATGTGATTAATGATTTAGTGGATTTAATCTGAGCAATGTATTCAAATTTTCTACCTATTTAATTGGTTTTATTGCAGTTAAATCTATATTATGATTGAAGATAGATTCTTGAAGCAATTTCTTTAAGGAGCATTTGAGCAAATCATCAAAGTGTAATTTATAGTTTCCAACTTTTCATATTCAAATTTGTTGTAAACTCTTTTGTAGTTTATAAATTGATTTATAAATAATTTGTAAGTGCTGCAATTTGTTTCTATTTTATATGTGATAAATTTAAACCTGCTATGAACTAGTTATATTTTACCGGTTTCCATTATTTAAACATGCTTTTAATGTATATTTGGGTGTGTCGGATCGTGTCGGTTGACCTGGACCCAAAGCGGGCCAAGTTCGGGTTTGCAAAATTGACTCGTTTTTAAAAATGGGTCGGGTTCGAGCAATGTTTAAAATTGCGTATTCGGATATTGAGGCGTTTTTCATTCGTGAGGCGAGGCATAAGCCTCAATGCGTTTTCAGGCGTAAGCCTCAAAATCAAAAGATTGCGTAAACATAAAAAGATAAATTTTTTATATACTAATGAGTGAATAGTATAAAACATAGAAAAGCATAAGATATGAAGTGAAATCAAAATATCTCAATAATAAGATAACATGAAATATAGTTCAACTCAAAATTTTATCTTTCCCAAATCGCAGTATTCTTTTCATTAACATATAATTCCAATTTCCAAAAATAAATAGCAATGACATATCACATAGGAACTCATAAGTCATCAGCACTGTCATCACTAAGGGGTTCCTCATTTGAATCATCATTATGGTGAATTGCTCTCTCCCCTTCCTCCTCTCCTATAGGGTCCAATGTCGGGCATTTACTTCAAGATTTATGTAAGTTTTCATATATATAGTGTGAGGTGTAAGCCTTAAGCCAGTGAGGCGAGGCGGGGCTCAACCAAGTTGAGGCGCAAGCCTCATAAAAAAAACTCGAGGCGTAAGCATCGAGGCGTTTTTTATTGGAATTGCGCAAAGGCGTGCCTCAAGGCGAGCCTCATATTGCGCAATTTTAAACCATGGGTTCGAGTCGGGTCAAATAGTGTTGGGTCAAATTCGGGTTGGACCTGAACCTGACACGAAACCCTAATTTGACAGTTCTAAATGCGAATGACTGTAATGACCTTAGCACCCTAAATGAAAATAATTTTTTTTTTTGTTTTTATCAATGTATTAGTAAAACTGAAGTTAGAGAGACTTTAAATAAAATGAGTGTGGACAACTATTGGGCTTGATGATATCCCCAAATAAGTGTGAAAATGCTTTGGAGAAGAATGAATTTCTTGGCTTACTAAATCTTTTTATATTATTTTGAAGATTAAAAAAATGTCAGATGAGTGTGTTGATCCCTATTTTTAAGAATAAAGATGATGCACAAGATTGTGCAAAGTATATAAGAATTAAGTTAATATGTCATTCTTTAAAACTATGGGAGAGAGTTAAAGAGCATAAGTTGCGGTGTGATACTAATATTTCTCAAAATCAATTTAGAGTCATTTCGATTAGGTCTACTACGGAAGTTATACATTTATTGAGAGGTCTAATGGAGAAGTGTAGAGATAATAAGGAGGATATACATATGATTTTTATTTATTTAGAAAACAAACATACGATAATGTTTCAAGAGAAGCTATGGAGAGTGCTAGAAAAGAAAGAACTTAATAATGCTTATATTTAAGTCATTAAGGATAAGTATGCAATGGCTATTGCTTGTGTCCAGACACAAGGTGGTTTGACCAAGTATTTTCGTATTTCAGCTGTATTTTACCAAGGATAAGCTTTAAGCCCATATCTTTTTTTGCTTTCGTCATGGATGTTCTCACTAGACATTTGCAAGAGTTTATACCTTGGTGTATGTTTTTTTGTTGATTATATTCTTTTTGTTGATAAGACTAGAGAGGGAGTTGAAGTTAAACTTGAATTATGGAGGTGAACCTCATAGTCTAAAAACTTTTGTTTGAGTAGATCTAAAACTGAATATATGGAATGTAATTTTACTAATAATAGTTCCAGTGGGGGATTGTGACTTTGGGTGATCAAGTCATTAAGAAGAGTACACATTTTAGATATCTTGGGTCTATTGTTCAGAGTGATGGTGAAATAGATGTGGATAATCTTAGTAGAATTCAAGTTGGATGGTTGAAGTGGAGGAATGCATCAGGCTTGTTGTGTGATAGAAAAGTCCCCCTCAAATTTCAGGGAAAATTCTATAAGATGGTGGTTAGACCTGTAATGTTTTATGATGCAGAATGTTAGCCATTAAAAGAGAAGCATAATACTAAGTTAAGTGTTGCAGAGATGAGGATGCTTAGGTGGATGAGTGGCTTTACCCTTAGAGATAGAATACGAAATGAGCATATATGTGAAAAGGTTGGAGTAGCTCTAGTGGAAGATAAGATTAGAGAGAGTCGCCTTAAATGGTTTGGTCATATAAAACGGCGATCTTCCAATGACTCGGTTAAGAAAGTAGATATATTAGATTTGACTTATGTTAAGAAGGGTAGAGGTAGACCTAAAAAGATTTGGTTAGAAAATATTAGAATTGACTTTTCTTTATTAATTTTAAATGAGAATTTAACTATTAACATGGCACCATGGAGAAAAAGGATTCATGTGACCAACCCCACATAGTGGGATAAAAAGCTTAGAAGTTGTTGTTGTTGATGATAAAAAAAAGTTCGCTAAATAACACCAAATTTTTGAACGTTCGAACTAAATATGTTTAATTATCAGCAAATAGTATCAATTATATCATCAAAGTTCTTGTGAAATTAAAAATTTATAACATTCATCTATAAATAAAATTAAATTTAGACCACTAAAAATATAGAATGATTTTTTAAGTAATAATGAGGAAATTTATTTAATTAGGAAAGCAACATGAAAACATTCATCCATCAAAAACACTTATAAGAATAATTAAAAAAATACATAATCAGAATTTCTTTTGGACAAAATCAAAATAGCTACCTTCAAAATTTTCATCTTATTGAAGTCTTGTGCGCAGCCTGAAGCAATTTCATCTTATTCCTGTCACATAAATTATATATGAACAATAAAATCACAATAGCGGATTGTGCAGATTCTTAACTGCAGTTGAGGCCCATTTTCAACCCAAACCCAATGGGAAAAAGTGGGTCATAGGATGGATGATCAGCATTCATCGGCAACTGACTTACTGATTTGAACCAAGTTACTGGAAGCAAACCTTCAAAGTCATAATCTCCGAATAGAACATCAGCAACCCCACTCCCTTCAGTCCCTGGTAGCCAAGCTGCAACCAGAGCATCTATCTTATCCATCAAATCTGGCTTAAAAACCAAAGGCCTTCCAGATATTACAATCACCACTGTGGGAACTTTGCTAGCTACACGACTTATGAGCTCAGCACCACCGAGTGGGATGTTGAGCTGTGACCTGTCTCCGAGTATCTCAGCATATGCAACCTCTCCCACGATTACAATTGCAAACGAGAACTCTTTGTTTGCAAAAGTATCCTCTGATGGGTGCTGCTCATATATGACTTCAGTTTTTTCCCCAACTGCCTCTTTGATAGCATCCAAAATGCTTGTACCTGTAAATAAATGAGATTACCATTTCCTGTTTTATATTGTCCATTTTGATCCAAAGTGGACAATATCTAAGCATAATATGAGCCAGTCTATTACAATTGCTATCATAGGTAAACCTCTACTTGTACAGTACCCAAGCAAAAGCTGGTGGACTTGTATGTCTCAAATATGAAGAGAGTGGTTTGAGAAGGCGGGGAGTGATCCTCAAACCTGTAGTCTGGATAATGTGCTGCTCCTAGCAGATTACTAGGATTAGGATGGCAGAATTTTAGGAGAAAAAAGGGACAAAATAAATCAAATCCTACATCGACAGAAGAAAGGATATTGAGTAATACAAGTAAACGCTAAGCCAATAAGTAGACGCCATTTGATGTGATAGGTGGAGGTTCAATGAGATTTTCACAATCAAGCATGCTCGTGATGTAGCAATCTTGGGATGGGTGAAATCTTAAAAAGTTACATCAATAAGGATCAAAATCATAGGGCCATTGTGCGGGCCATGCCAAAGCGGACAACACATTGTATACTGTGAGCTGGGTCATCACAATATTAATTATGCTTAATTAACCCACATATATATATAGAGGCAAATTTTTATCCATTTTGTGAAGATTATCCATTTCTTCAAGTACTTTCTTTGAGAGAGGAACAACCTTTAACTATATGCCAACTCAATGCTAAGAACGTTTGGGCATCCTCGATCTTTGGTACCAAACATTTTTTTGAAGACATTATTTTATTTTAGTAATACACAAAGCATCACTTTCTATTAGAAGAATCTCACTTCTATTAGAAGAATGTCATCAATATAAATATATAAGTGCCAATGGAAGAATATCAAATAAAGATATGATGATCAACAATATTATTTTATAATATTAGCAAGAACTTTAAAGATTTTGTCGAATCAAGCATGAGGATTTTCTTTCAACCCATATATGACTATAAAATTTAAATAGTTTGTTCTCATCTTGAGCAACATATCCTGGAGGTTGCTCCATATAGAAAGATTCAGTGAGATGCCTATCAAGAAAATCATTGCTTAGAATCAAGTTGAAGGATAGTTTATCCTTGATTAATGGCAACAAAAATAAGAAAATGGGCTGAATTATGTTGAGCAACCAAGGAGAAAATCTCAAAATAGTCAATTTCATGAACAATTTATACCTTTTGGCTATCAACTGACCCTTGCAATGTTCAATAATTCCATCAGAATGGAACTTAACAGTGAAGAGATAATGACATGAAATGGTCTTATTCCTAGGAGTGTAACCAAATTCTAAATATGTAATGAGAGCACCCATTTAAGTATCCATTACATACTTCCACGTAGGATTTAGCAAAGCCTTCTAATATGACATACAAGGCAACCTGATGAAAGGAAGAAGTTAAGGATATTTAAGAGTGCAATGAGAGGTTTAGTGCAGGGGCTTGAAGTTTTTCATAGAGGACTAGGACATGTAGATCTAACAACTCAGTTTCAAGCAGTTGATGAGATGGAGGGAGATGCTTCAATAGGAGATGGACATGGCCTGCGAGTATAAACCTGTGAGGGGAACAAAAACAGGCATTGTGGCTATAAGTGGTAGGGGAACAAATAGAGTTTTGGTATGAGACAAAATGAGAGAGATAACGAGTGGTATCATGAAAGGTAATATTTGTGAAATTATTTAATCCTATGTTAGAAGGATCTAACATGAATGGCCTTTTTGAGCTAAAAAATAGCTTAGAAAGATACATCGAATCGCTTGAGAGAAGGCATTGCTTTTCTTGAGAGATTAGCACTATAAACTTTATCCTCATGATTAGTTATTGTTGAAAGATTTAGGTTTTGTTTGGGACAACTTTCTTACCGCTTCTTAAAGTGACTTTCTAGTACAAAAATTAATTTTTGTACTAAAAAGCCCTTCTAAAAAACAAGAAGAAAGCCGTTCCAAACGAAGCCTTAGACTCTTATTTCAATCTTGAGGATATCAAGGGGACATTATTCTTTCTTGGGTCTAACAAGTCTCTATATCTAAATGCTTTTCTTATTAACTTCTATAGAGTTATGTAAGAGAGTAAAAAATATATTTTTTGCTTATGCTTAATGATCTATATTGCGGCAAGGTTTCTCTTTGAGGGATGTGTGCAACTATCACTTGTCTTATTCTGAGGAATGACCACTGTGAACTTCTTAAGGACTTCAAACCAATTAGCCTGATTATTTGCACTTAAAAAACTTGCATCAAGGTGCATGTTAACAGGATGCCAAAAGTCATTTTGGATTTGGTGGATTTCTCTTAGGGAGCCTTCATTTAAGAGATACCATTGATTGCAACATTACAGTATATATATTAATTCATTAATACCTTGAAATGAAAGAAGAAAAGCCTTTTTTAAAGGTGATTTTTGAGAGAGCAGATTACTTTGTGATTGAAATTGAATTCTCTTCATTCTTAATAAAAGACTTTCTCCTAAAAATTCATTCAATGGATAGGGGGACTTGATTCATTTAAATGCTTATGTTCTTATTAATGGAGAATTGGGGCGCTTTGTAGATGTTCTTCATAAACTTATTCAGCAACATTGAATAAGCGATAGATTTAAAGGAGTGTTTACAATCCTAATGAACCAACTATCAATAGCATTCATTTTGTAGATGATACTCTGTTATTTTGTGACGCACACCTAAAGCAAGCTAGTTATCTCAAAACGGATTTTGATGCTCTTTGAAGATATTTCTAATCTTACAATTAATTCCTTAAAGTATTCACAGATATATTTGGGGGGGTTACGTAATTTGCAAAGGATAACTTGCCTTTTGTTTGGTTTGTTATGAGGAGAAACTGCCCTTTAAATATCTAGGAATTCCTCTAGGACCTAAAAGCTTGTTCAAAGAGCATTTTGAAATTCTCTTAGAAAAAGTTCAATAGAACTTGAGTACCTAGAATGGTAAATATCTTTTTAAAGGCGGAGCAGTTATCCTCATTAACTCAGTGTTCAAATTGGTATCTCTTTATTATTTCTCCTTTTTTAATACTTAATTAGGAGATTAAGAGGATTGATTGTATTAGGAAATTGTTTTCTACAATGGCAAAGAGGGGATAGGTCTGAACCTTGGAGATGGGTTGTGTAGATCCAAGAACTTTGGTGGACTTGTGTATATTGGATTTGAAGAAGTTGAATATAGCTTTGACAACTGGATTTGGAAATCTATTCAAGAAGAAGACTCATTTTTTAGTGGGAAAATCATGAACAATATTGAAGGAATAACAATCATGTCAGATTTCGGGTGAAGAAACCTAGTAATTGTTCTAACTTCATTAAGGGAATTTATAAAGCATGCAAGCCATTTTCATCAATGGTTCTTGGAAAGATAACAATGGAACTAATTTAAGATTTTGGTATGAAAGGTGGATTAAAAATATTTCTCTATTAATCAAATTCGATAAACGAAATGGACTTTGTTAGAGAATAAGACTTTAGCATCAATTCTCAAATTTTGATCAACAAGAGGTGCAGTCCATTGGAAGGGGACAATTTATTCTTTTACTAAGAAGAGATTTGGAGAAATTGTGACTTGAAAATGTATCTTTAAATATAGATAATGATGAAGCTATCTGGAATCATGCAGCTGGACAATATAGTTTGAGAATGTTTAATCTATTTGTAGTTCATGTAGAAATAAACACATTAAAGCAGGTTATATAGGACTTTGGAATATCATCTTCCAAGCCTCAATTTGGATTATACAGGGAACAAGAAATGGTGCCAACTTTAAGGACAACAAAGTTGATGAAGTCCTTTGATATAATATTATAATCAGGTTTATTTTTGGATCTGTATTTCTGATGTGATATGATGTAAATCCAGGATTTGTATTTAGAAGTTTAACAAAAGATTATCCAAGTATGATAATTGCAAGTTAAATCTTGTTCCCAATTCAAGCTTTTCGGAAATCTCAATTGTTAACTACGACTAGGCAAGCACTTACACCTAAATTAGCAAGGCCGAGAAAAATAACAACTTTCATAAATGTAAAGCAAATGAAACGAACAACAAGAATCCCAAGATTAACAAAGCGATTGTCTCACCTTGAGGCCGCTCTCATTTACCTACTCCTAGGCTTGTTGGGAGAAGAAGAACCACACGATGGAGGAGATCACTCCTAGGGCGACGGCGCCGTAGATCCGTAGGGAGGAAGAGGTCGGCGCGGGTTGTGGAGGTGTTGCAAAGCTAAGTCCTTTGACGATCCAAGTGTACACTGAAAAATGATCGTCGACGGTCTCTATCAAGGTGGGTACGATCCGGGCCAAATACTCCTCAACGGTGTCGTCGAAGTCGAATCCGACGTCAAAGAAAGGGGACCGGAGGATGTCTACTCGTCCTTGATCGTCGTATTCAAACCCGAAATTCCATTCGGGAACATCCATGCATCCTCGGAGAAGGGGAAAGGTGGCCGCCGCGAGTAGGTCTCCAAGGAGGAGAGGAGGGAGGGCGGCGGGTAGGAGCAAGAAGAAGAGGCCGGCGGGTGTATGGGGGTGGAGGAGGGAGGAGTGCAGTGAATGACTCCAAAAACTGAAAGAAAATTCAGGTTTAGAGAAATTTAGGAGGGAAGGGTTAGGGATTTGAAATTCCAATTAATGTAATCAATGCATTAATTGAAAATTTCAAATAAGGAGGGATTAAAGGGAGAAAACTGAAATTATTTTCAGTTTTAAGCGAAGTGGAGGGAAAGTTTTAATCCTATTTTGAATTACAAATAGGATTTAAGAGGATTAATTGAGCATTAATGGGATTTCCCCATAGGGGGGGCCGGCGGCATGCTTGAGGAGGGAGGGAAAATATGGAGAGGAGGAGGAGGTTTAATGCTTGATTTGATGATGTGGCAAAAATCTTAAAACTCCAAATTAAATTGATTTGAAATTTTTTTACTCATGAAGACTTTCCATATTTGGATTTCCAAATTAGGAAACAATTCAAATTTTGAAATTTCAAATCTCTAATTTGATGTTGGGGA